TGATGAGTAGTCCCAGATGGCATGAGGAAATTGTTGATGCTGGCTGATTTTCTCAGTATAATAATTGAGAATATCCAGAAGAACTTCTGGACAACAGCTTTAAACAGAGAGAGGTGCTCTTTTTACATGGGAATAAAATACAGAACTCCTTGGCGTAGGGTGTTGCAGAGTCCAGAAGTATCTATATGAGTTAAAAAAAGATTTAGGCAAAATAGAGGGTGTTAAACATGATAATCTGTGTCTCAGATATTGTTAAATGCCCAGTGGAGGGACTTTGCTTGGGTAAAGGACCTCACAGCTCCCCTTTCTTCACTGTTTTTTCCTCAGTCCTGTGCTGTTGATGACTGTCATAGACATGACATTGAGCTTGACTGACCAGTGGTTTAACTCAAAGCTTGAATCCCTTATTGTGCCATTTTTAATGTAGGAGGTTATGTTACTATGGAGAAATGACAGCCATACTTGACTGACTGACAAGTACACATTTGAATTTTAAATATAATGAATGATCTATACTACACAGAGGCTTTGAAGAGGTTTTTAAAACATATTTTCTCCTTTTGTAGACTATGACATCTAACTAAGCAATGTGCGTATTTTACAGCTGGAGTATTTGTGTCAGTAGAATAATGCCTGTGTCAGCATTTCCACTGGAAGCCTATATTTCAGAGATTTGCAATTGGACTGTAAAATTTTCCTCCAGCCTCAGACTTGGCACATAGATGAGAGTCTGAGCTGATCACCAGCTGGGTCAAGAGGGAATTCTTGCAAGACTTGGATTTTGTGTAGTTTGTGCGTTACTAGGATGTATCAGTTTTCCCTAAGGCAATCTGTATCAGCCATGGTGAAAGATGCCAAGATTGAATTATTGATAAATTCATATATGGGGATTGCTATTAAAGTTCCTTGACAGCAAAGAAGTTTTCAGATGTTTCAGGAAGAAAGACTGCATTTTCAGTTCTATGAGAATTCTTATATCTCTGTGTTGGCCTAAAGAAGAGCCCCTCTGGGCCACTTCCCTGCAAAACTAGATGTGAAAATAGCCTTTTCTGTATCCAGAGGCAGCATTTAGGCACAGTACATCTGTAGGAAAAAGGTGCACTGTTCCTAAGAGCAGTGACAATTTCCAACACAGGTGAGCAAACTCATCCTCAAGAACCTCAGCAGTGACCTACTTGAAATTTGCAGATACTTAGGCCCAGTCTTTGGTCAAGATTGATTTTATTCTTACTTTATGAACATGACTGAGTAGTTGCATCAACATTGTTTAAGTAGTAACAGTAGTGTAACATAAAAGATAATAAAATACAGATAAGATACAGATTTTAAATATTCAACCCTATGTTTTCGTGTGAAACAATCTTGTGCTGTAGAATGCGTTGTTTTCTGTGAGGTTTCTTCTGACTCATTTGTATTGTTAGGGAGGGGTAAGGAGGCAGTGTCAGCATTCTGTCTTGCAGAGGTGGGCAGTGTGGCAGTGCTCCTGCCTTGCAGCCCGGTGCCTTCTGCTCAGGACCCCTTGCTGACTGACCATCCCTGCACCACAGTGGTCATCAGAAGCACAGCTAGAGGAAAATGGAAATTAGACATGGCTAAGCACCACTTCTCAGGGTGCTTTCCAAAATTAATTCTTCCACATAATTGTTGAGTTTAAACAATAGATAAAATGCAGGTTTTATCTGTTCACAGATCAACGTCTACCAACAGTATGGCAGTTTCTTACACAACAGCAGTAGTACAGTGCTTTCTATACAAGTGGCGTGTTAAACCTATGTGTTCTAGGTCAGGCATTTAAATAAAATGTCTAGAAGAGATAAAACTCTTTCCCTCTAGTAATTTTAATTTTCCTTAGTGAGACACTGTGATGGTTAAGTGTACTTTAGTCTCAGTGTTGCTATTGTATGGAATGTTAGTCTTCCTTAAAGGATTTTTGACAACACCTCTCTCACTCCATTTTGAAGGGATTGAGTCCTGGCTGTTATGACACTTACAATGCTGACATAGATTGCCAGTGGATTGATATCACAGATGTGAAACCTGGAAACTACATTCTGAAGGTAAGGACTTAGGGAGAGTTGCTTTTTTTTCTTTTTTCCTTTTTCTTTTCCACCCTAAATACAAATCATATGTGTTTGTCCTTTTGAATGTAAAGTTACCAACCAAGATACAACTTTCTTCCCTTTCTTCCCTTAAGGTCAGTGTAAACCCCAGTTATTTGGTACCTGAATCTGATTACTCCAACAACATAGTACGCTGTGATATACGCTACACTGGCCACCATGCATATGCCTCTGGCTGTACAATTTCACCGTAAGTATATTTCTTTTTGACTGTTTTGTGTTCATAGTACTGAAGTTGACATTCAGATTTATGGAGATTAGAAATTTTGTAGCTTTAAGGATCTAGCGTGTTAATTTGAAGTTCAGATGCTGCATTTCAGAGATCTTTTTTGGCAAGAAAGTTGGGAATCATTACTTTGCTGTTGGTAACTACATAACTTGAGAATACTGACCTGTCGTAAATAAATGATTTGCATTACTTAGCATTAATTTTTAAAACATATTATTTAGGTTTGAAATCAATCCTAAGTGAGAACTTTTCTTCTGAAGTCTTCTTACTGGGATATGTGACACTTGACAGTAGCTATTACTGCCTGGGCAGTCACTATGTCTGGTTCAAGTCCTTCTTTGTATTTGCACTAAAATCTTTCTGTTCTCATTCAGTGCCCACTTAGTTCATTCATACAGAACTGTTGAGTAGTTAGGTAGCTCTCAAAGCATTTTGTAAAATCCCACACTTGTATGTTAACTTTGCTGCTGTAGGTGCAACAGCTGTGTTTCCTGAAACAGCCATTCCACATACACTTCGTTGACAGCTCTTCAAAAGTTTAAACAGTGCTGCAACTATGCTGGTTTCATTTTTTTTTCTCTGAGAAGGCAAATTCACATTTAATTAGTGTTCTTATTTGTAGATCTGCTGTAGCTTAGTAGCTGTGGAAGATGCACACAAAAAAGCAATTGTTCTGTAACACAGTAATGAGCAGTTCCCAGGTGCTGCATTAGTTACACGTATACAACATTTATTCCATAAAATTCCAGAGCAATAATGAACAGTAAATGACAGCATAGTCTACTATAACAGCATCAATGAAGTAAACATAGCGTGAATACTCATCTGTTAGCCTTACAAAGGTATTAGGAAACAGGTGATTAAGGGAGGCTAAAATGAGAAACTTTCTTCTCAGTTCGGCAGGGAGGTCTGTATTTATAATCACTCTTAGGTCATGAATGCAATAAGTTAAATGGCATCAGCCTAATTCTTTCTTTTTTCTCACTATGTGGTGGTAAGGCTTGCAGGAAACTGTGACAGAGCAGGTGCCCTACAGGACAGAGTAATTAATGATGGGCCAGTAGAAGGAGCTTTTAAAAGCATTTATGTGTAGCAGAGGTGACTAACTGGTACTTCAGCAAAGATAGCTTCTTTCTATTTACTCACATTTCAATGGAAGAGAAATTTATGCTTTATTCCTTAACTTAATGGTTTCCTTATCTTATTTGTAAATGTAATCAAATAGATGTATTCATGCTGGTGAGAAGACAAAATTTCTTCTGCCGTTTTTGAGCCGCACTTTTAAGCTGATGAAAGTGTATTTAGCAGATTTTTTTGTAATGTGTTTTTTTTTTTTTTTTTGTCCATTTGCATGACACCGTTTCTTTTCCTTTAACAGGTACTGAGAGAGATACAAGAAAATGGATGAGACGGAGCCAAATGTTTTGAACTGAAGTATCATTATATAAATTTCCATAGAATGTAAACAGTATAGAAGCAAAACTACAGAACATGCACACGTACACCCACACACATTGTGATTTCGAAGCGCGTTGTCTGCTTCTCATCAAAATCTGAAACTGGATCTTAAGCATTTGAATTGGCATTATGTTTCTAACTTTTGAACGTGTGGATCTGGTGACTCACACACAGATATTCTAAAATTTTGAAATATTAACTTATTCACAAAAAAAAAAAAAAAAAAACAGAAAAAACCCAAAAACACGAGAATTTTTTAACTCCTGCAAATTTGGAGTTCAAGTGATGATAGATAGACTTCAGTCAGAATATTACTGGTGAATGAGTTGAGCATATTCTAAAAGGTAGCAAATCTTTCTGTAAAATGAATTAGGTAAAATGCAATAGAAAATACTAACGCCAGCTATCTCAGAAAGCACCAGAAGGAAAAACTGCTTGAGAGTAATCCCATTGTAACCGTTCAAACAAAACTTGCTGGGACATTTTGATACGAATGAGAAAAGTATGTTCAGTTTTCGAGGGATATTAACATATAGCAGAGAAATACATATATCTATATCTATCTGTCAGTTATACCCCTGCAAGAAAAGTTATGTTTACATTTTTAATACGTTAGAAGTTTTACCATTTTCTTAACTCAAAAGCAGATGGGGTTTTGAAAGAAACCTTTCATCCATAGAAATAAATTAAAGAACTTATCCACCTTTCTATGTTGAAGAGATTTTTCAAGGTGGGGCTTTTGAAAGACTTCTGCACACATAATGTGGCTAGAAATGATTACCTGTCAAGAAGAGGGCTCGCAGAGGTGATGAAGAGTCCCTGGTGTAGTCATCTGTGAAAAACAGTCCATTTGAACAGGTTAGCCATCAGTACAGGCTGTTAATTCGGATGGCACCACAAAATAAAAGCAGGTCAGAATCTCTAGCATGGTATTTTCATTGTGAGAAAGCCTAATGCCTACTTCCCCCTTAAGTACTGCATTTGGCTGTTGAAATTTGTATCTCAGAATTCAGTTGATAAAAATGAAAATACAGAGGGAGAACAAAAGTAAATACATTAAACATCCTAACTTAGGCTGTTCAGGACCCAAGCATTGCTAAGGGGAAAAACTTCTAGCCCACATCAAATTTTTTCACTGATCTTCTTACTGGTGCTGGGTACACCACCCCTCATCCCATCCCAAATTATTTTGCTTTTGCAGTGCACCCTGCTGTAAGCTACAGTAGCTGTGATTTTGTTTTTAAACTGTGAAATAACATATCACAAGGGGATCTCATGCTTTCTTTCGGAAGATTTCAGATCATGTAAAATGAAGGACCTACTTTTGAAACAATGACCTGGAAGTACTGACCGGTATTGGTTATGTTTAAGCAGCAGTTCCAAATTCCTAACAAAACGTGAAACCTCAGTATCGTATATATATATATGTATATACATATGTATATATATATACATATATATATATTAAATAGTGTGTTATTCAGAATAGTTGAAGAAGGGAAAAAATCTGAGTAATATGTAAGGTTTTTGATCGCTGCTGAGAATACTTCAGGCAGTACTTGGAGGTATTTTATGCAATAGAACCCTATGAACTCCATTTGGACGTTTTATCAATTGTCATGATAGCCGTTAAGGATCAATGTGTTCTTTATTGCATATGTTTATTTCAGGACTATAAAGTACTTCCACCTTAATCATGACTAGGTTATGCTTGTACAGCTAGTTGGTATGCTGAAAAAGCATCTAAGAAGTAATAACCCCATTTTTACTACCCAATGTTTGAAGTGCGTCCAGATTGCAGTTAAAGACTGCAGGTCCCTTTTTCGTTTGTTCAGAGATCCATTTTAGCAATCAGTTACCACTGTGGGCCCCAAACAGGAGCAAAATTTGGAAACCAGATTTCTTAGGAAGCCATTTATTACGTGCGTCTGCAAAGCAAGGGCCTGATTCAGGTTTAGGCTTCTGAAATCTCAGCTCAAAGAGATAAAGAGATGCAAATGCATTCACCTTTCTAGAAACTTAGGTCAGAATTGGGGTGAAAGTCCTGACAGCAGCTTGTGCAATAAACACACAAGCTACTACTGTAATGGAAGCTAAGCTGTGGTGGGCACAGACTGCTTCCTGGTAAGAGGTGGTGTGCTCTTACTTCATGGTGCTTGACACTGAATGTGGGATAAGAGAAGGCTAACTGGACACAGAGTAGCTGAGGAGTTTCTCCCTCAGTTTTCAAGGCAGTATCCTGCTTGCATATCTATATCCAAACTACTTGCAGAACTCCATTGAGATCAGCAAGAAGTCAGAGGAGCTTAAGCATCCTGTGTAGGTGGAGCATGTTGTAGTACTGGACTTGGACCTTTCAGTGGGAATGGCCTGGTTCAGAAAGGTGCTGAACGCCATAACTGAGTATTGGGGATATTGTGGTTACAGAGATGTAGCTCTTTTCCGTAGCAAAATGTTTTATTTGTTTTAAAGTGTATGTTAAGGAACGTGACAGTAATGTACATTAGCACAAACGTTGCCTAAGATAACACGAACAATCTATCTAGAAAAGCAAGAGATTTTAGGATTAAAAAAAATGAAGAAATGTGACTTTAACTTACCCTATTTAACTACAGTTAATCACAATGCAGTACAAGAGTTGATTGTATAGAAAGTGTAGAAGCACTTCCAAATAGGGGAGTGCCAGCCACTATCTTCAGTATCTTGGCTTTACAGTTTTGACCCAGATATCTTAACTACTTTCATATGGGAACATATTCAAGAAACTACATTTTTGTTGAAAACCATTTATAAAGAACAGTTTTGATAACATCTTATTTTATAAAGCAAATTCTGTTTTGCAACCCTTTCTACCAGCTGTTTTAAAAGGAGTCATTGGGAGCAGTATCAGACAAATTGCAGTACAAAATCAGTGCTGTGTAGTCTCAGATTTTCTTTGAAATGTGAGAACATTAAATATGTGGGTGAAGTAATTGCCTCCCACATTTCAGGTCTTCAGATGAAAACTACACATAGGGAACATACTGTGTACCAGACTCTCTGCAGAAGGGGTTCATTAAATATTTTTTTTAATCCTGAAATATATTCAGTATTTGAATACTTCTAGACAAAAACGTGACAAAAATGACAGATTGGTCACCATCTGAACCAGCATATTGTGTAGATGTTTTTGTGTTGGTGAGTCTACTCATTTTCTCTCTGCTCCAAAGTTTACTACACATAACCCATATGTTGAATGGGTGCAAACACCAAATGTACCTTAGTCATTTATGTGTTGTTTGTATTGTACTCATTCAAACCAGCAGGGTGAGTTTCATAAATGAGACAACTAAAGGTGGTTTATCCTGTGTCTCGCATTTATGCTGACATGGCATTTTTCATTTTCTCCAAATCCTAGAAGGTGCTGAAAGGTTTTAACTTGAATTAAAACCAAAGAGTATGTTATGGGGAGGTTTCTATTATGCAACTAACTGCTATAAATTCAGTGAAATGCCACTTGTTTTTGCAACTTTTTTGAAGTTTTCATTATTTCCTTCACTTTTCTTCCAAGAGTCTTGACTTCAAAAAAACTTTGCATCTTCATCTGATGAGTTCTTATTTATAATATTCAGACACTAGCTTTGTATTCTTTATTGCACTTTCATATTCTTGTGTTACATGCCCGTATTATGGTTGCAAGTTTATGTGAAAATGACTTGAATAAAATTTTTCAAGCGTTCTACTTGTCTGAGTGCTTAATGCAGGAAGTGGTCATAGGCCATATAATGGGAAAGCATCAATCAAAGCTGTGTGTGTCTACATGAACAAGAAAATGGGGAAGATGCTGCTGCCTGGAAAAAACAAGAAAGGAAAAGATGCAACGATGATGACTACCTCTTGTACTACACTAAAGCTTAATAAGCGAAAGCATAATAGGCTAAGATATGGCTTGTTTGGACATAGCAATTGTTGATAAAGTTTCTCTTTACCAAATCATCTGTCTGTAGGAGCAGGATCTCAGAAACCACTGTCAGAATTTCTGCATCAAAAACCTTACTCATATGGAAAAAATGTTTGAGCAGTCTGTAGTAGATAGTCAATGCAATGCAAAACAATTAATGCACTGAACACTCACTCCAAAAACATTTAATCCTTTATTTACATTTTTTAAATACAAATCAACATCCTGCTGCTTCTGCAATCTGTATGCTAAACTGATGAAATATGCTGAATTATGAAACATCTCTGTTCCCTTCACTGAGGGATTAATGCAGAATATGGTTAAAAACGTTGAAATGTTCTTTCTAACTTTCTTGACTTTGGGCAAATGCAGGCAAAAATGATGTAATACCTTATGCAGTTCATAAAGTAAAGGTAGAATTATTTAAGATAGACATGTGGTGGTGTTTCAAAAATGTAACAAAATGATTAGTTAGAGCTAAAAGCTTCAAACTAGGAGTTCCTGCAAGTGCTATCCATAGAATGCAGAACTCAGTGTGGATCTGACTCCATGTGAAAACGCAGTCAGAGCAACGACACATCCAATTGTTGTGGCTTTTAATAAAATACTGACAAATCTAAGCTTGTTTTAAGTGAAAACACTGCATCTAAAAGCACTCTATGAGTATTTGACCATACATACACAGAGTGAGAACATTTCTCCTGTAGTACAGTAATGGAGTGGAAAGCAGGATTCTCCAGGATTCTTATCTTACAATCACAGAGTGAATTATCTTCCCATATCATTAGAAAAATAAATTGGTCATACTTCATGAGAGGTCGCTGCCTAAACAATGTCACAAACTAGGTTAACAGCATGTTCATATTGAAAATATTGCCATCATGAAGAAAAAATGTTTTGAACTTTTATCAACAAGCTCCAGTTGTGTTCACTGAGTTTATCAGCTCATAAAAAATCACCCAGTTGCATATAAAAAACACTATCAAGTCTCAGCCATCAGCACTCATTTGTACACTGCCCAGCACATTAAGGCTGTGATCCAGGTGAGTCACCAAGCACCAGCTACAAGTGGTAATGGCCTATTAAAATCTGAAGCAATGCCAACAACCTAATCTCCCTCTTTTCATTCATGTTCAGCTTATCTTTTTTCAGTTTTTTAAATAGGAGCTCAGAAGTTTAGTCGTGTTTCTGAAGAGGAAAAAAAGATGTTTTGATAAACTAGGTTTCCTTCAGGAAGAATTCTATGGGCACAAATTACAGCTGCAGGAACGTAGTAAGAAATGTGCTCAAACGCCAAGACAAACTAATGCTCTTAGATCTCCTAGCACATGCAAAAAAGCACTTTAGAACATATGCAAAAAGACATTTTGTTTCAAACTATTATTTGCACTCTTTAACTTTTTAGTCTTTAAAGTGAATCAACTCTTAAACTATGATGCTCATCTACTCAAAGATCATCCATCCATGAAAAACTATATTAGAACTGATGACAGCAAACAAAAGAAATTCTTCTGGCCCTTCACTGGAACCAGAGAAGTCACATGTCAGACATTTGTTTGGAATAGCATTTGACTAGGATTATTTATTCATTTATTTATTTTAGGCATTAAGGATCAGCATTTGTATTTGGAAATTTAGAGGAGTTTGCATGTGGCATGTCTTTTTCTACAAAAGGTTATCCTTCCTTACAAAAGAACAATAAAAATGCTTTCTCATTTTCATGTTTTACTGTGATGCTTCTGGCTTTATGTTTGATGCCATTCAAGATGGTACATTAAAAATAACAGCAACAAAAAGCACTGGGAGATGGAAGAATATATGAATTTCCTGCTCTTCTCAGCATCAGTGCAATTCAGGAAAATAATACCACATTTACTGTTGTTTAGAATACAGAAAAGAAAGCCTGAGGGGCAAAGTCATACGTAGATAATAATAATCCAAGGAACCACTGTAATATGTAGCTTACAACAACTGAACACAGTAAGAGGATGGGCAGAAATACTGGGATATAAGTATTCAGTCTACCAGAGGGAGTGAGACAGAGTGGTGGTCACACCATGTTAAAAAAAAAAAACTTTTTCCTCCGATTTGGCTGTAACATCATGGTAAATAGAATAAGTGAGGAATTACACAGCGACTGCATTTTTACATGCTTCCAGTAACTGCTTTAACCAACAGCTGGTAGTCACTAAGTCACTGCTTGACTCATTCCTCTGAGTATCACAAAATCACGAGGAGTTGATGAGGTTGGCACGGTCCACTGGAGGTCATCAGGCTCAATGTCTCTGTTCAAGCAGGGCCACCTAGAGCTGCTTGCACAGGACCATGTCCAGATGGCTTCTAAGTACCTCTGAGGATGGAGACTCCACATCTTCTCTGGACAATTTGTGCCAGTATTGGACCTCTTTACAGTGACAAAGTTGTTTCTTTTGTACTTAGAAGAGTCTGTCTTGATCTTCTTCCCCTCCCAGTAATTACAAACACTGGTAAGATACTCCAAGCCTTCTACAGGTTGAACTGTCCCTGTTCTCAGCCACTCCTTGGACTCCATTTCCTTTATCATCTTGGAGACCTTTTGCTGGACTTTCTCCATTGTGTCCACATCTTTTGTACTGCAAAGCCCACAATTTCCAGGGACTGGGATAGACATAGCCTCACCTGTGCTGAACAGAGAAGAAAGATCACCTCTCCAAACTTGCTGCTCCTCCAAGAAGGAGTTGGACATCTCTACTATTGGGATGAATTGCTGGCTCATGGTCTGTTGGTATTCACCAGAAACCCATGTCCTTTCCTGCAAGCAGCTTTCCATCCCATCTGCATCCAGCACAGACTACTGTACAGTGTTACTGCTCTCCAGAGGCAGCGCTTTCCATTTTCCTTAACTAAGCTTCACAAAGTTTAAACTTTTCCTCTGACCACTTCTCTAGCCTGTCCAAGTCTGTCTGAACGGCAGCACAACCATCTGGCTTATAAGCCACTCCTGCCAGTTCTATATATGCACTCTGTCCTATGAGCCAGTTCATTAATGAAGATGTTAAATACTACTGAGTAGTACTGAACCACTCTTCAGTTATGTTGGCTATGTGCTATTCAAAACCTTTGGAGCTCATGAGGTCAGCAAGTTTCTGATTCACCTTATTATCATTTTATGTAGTCCATATTAATGCAGTTTGTCTATAAGGATATCATGGGAAAGAACAACAAAAGCCTTATTAAAGTTGAGATAAACAACATCCACTGCTCTTCCCAACATCCCCTTCTCTATCCAAAGTGACATTCAAAGAGTTAATAAAAATTCTTTGCTCACTGTTATAAGCAGTTACTAAACCTATCAGGTTGCAGCTTAACACACAGAGAAAGAGATTGCTTTTTCACACAGTTCGATACATAGGACAAACTTCTTCATGAGATGAGAGGTTACACCAGTTGACATAGATTTGACAGTAAACAAATCTGCAGAAGAGGTATTTATTGAGGATTATTAAACACAATAAACTACCATATCACAATAAGTCCCTGAGCTACAACACCAGAAGACAGGTGAATCTTAGAATGATGTACCACTGCCTGCTTCCACTATACCTATAATAAAGCAACCCTCTTTTTGACTTATTTCAATTAAGCTGCAGAAAACATCTCTGAAGAAACATATTAAAATAACTAAAGAATTTTGTCCAACAGTACGCTTTTGTATACATTCTATTTGCTTAACTATCAACAATATCTAATAAGAAAGATGACTTCTAATTGTACAAGTGCAAGAAATGCAGACCATCCAGATACAATCTCCAGGGCAGGAGTATTAAAGACACCCTTTCAGTAGCTCAAAGCAACAATATAATCAAAGAACAACAAAGACCACAATTTAATAGGCCAATATTTTATTGCTACCCAGAACATGTGCATTACTAATTGGCTTTCATAGCTACCTGATACATTCACAAATTTGTAAAGTCTGTTCAAGCTTAAGAGATTTCTTTTCCTCATCAGAGATGTTATTTGTTAATACAGACCTGGGATTATCACTTCAGTAGTGGTATTCTTACCTATTACCTTAGATCCAATCCCTCAAGCACTTAAAAGTACATTTTTACAAAAATAAAACTTCAGAGAATCTGTACTACTCCTACATGGCACAGATGATGTTCTTAAAACCCATTCAGTCATGGTAGGGCATATTCCATAAACAGCAGCATTATGAAACTGGAATTATCAAGACAGCCAAACATGGATTAATGGGCAAAAATTCTTGAGAAATGTAAAATATTATCTCAGTGAAGATTTCTACATTGTTTTCTGTCCTACCACCAAGAATTGTTCAAACTCCAGTTTTTACCACCTACAAAAATATCGTAAGATGCAAATTTACAATAATCATATTTTAAAATTTCAATTTATATACAGTCTAGTCATCAAATTTAATCTTTTTGCCCTGGAATGCTGTAATTTGTGACATTTGTTCCCGACGTCTCCTGCTTGCTTCCCACGAAGGATGAAGAGGCTGCTCCAAACGTGGATTCTTACCATCACGTTTAAGAATGGAGGTTTTTGCAAATGATTGTTTTTTGAGCTGTGGTTCCTTTTTAAGAAGAGCTGTGTAAGAAGCACAGCATGAAACTTTTAATATGCAAAAATAGGAAACTGCAAGCAAAATCCACAAATCAAAGTAAAAGCTAGAAAACCTGATAATTTTTACAACATTTGTCAAAATACATGCCACAAAACTGAAACAAACAAACAAACAAGAGCCTAGCAATATTATATAGCAGAGGAAAGAAAATCTCAAGTTATCTTTGTTCCCACTACTGTACCAAGTTAAGTAATACATACCTGTTTGTCTGTTTTTGAGAGGTTGGTCTTTTGTATTTCTAAAAATAAAAATATAATTCAGCATTACTCAAGAAATTTCTAAAATAATACACAAATGAAGAACTGACTTCACTAAAACACTTGTGGAATGACTTTTCAAGATAATAGGTAAAAATCGTATATAGCTTTTACTCTTTGTTAATAAAGGAACTAAAAAAGAAGTACTTCAATACTGATTAAATTTGCATACAGTTTTAGGAATCCTAAATGTATGTCCATGGTAATGTGAGTATCTCCATTATAATGTGAAAAATCTCTAAGCATCAGGAAAGCACAAGGAGGCTGCGGAGTAGTTTACATGAAAGCATTCTGAGCTGTAGTTGACTGAAATTCTCCTTGTTTGGTAACAAACTACTAGAAGTAGTTACTACTTTTAGCTACTAAAAGTACTTAAAGCTACTAAAAATTATAAGTATTGTCATTGCTCGAAAGGAGGGAGATAGTGGAGAACAAAGCAAGAGGAAAAAGTTTACCTTCTGTTTTGGGATTTCTGATTGCAGGTAGACAAAGAAGTACAGAACACTGATTCCAGCTTCCTTGCTTTTTCATGTGGTTTTCCTTCCATGATCAAATTTTGCACTGTCCTGGATACTGTACTCTTTTCTTCCTTCAATATGTTTTTCTGAAGTGTATTCTTTTCTTTTACTGAAGAAAGACTATTAACTGCTGCTGTTTTCTTCTTTCTTCTTACTTTGCCAATGAAGAAATCATCATTGCTATCACTATCAGAATTTGATGTCTGGTTATAAAACCTCTCTTCAGTACTATCATCAAAGTATTCCTCTTCACTATGTTGTTCCAGGCCACTATCATCTCTAATTATTTGTTTCATTGCAGTTAATTTGTTCATGCTCACATTTTCTTTCCTTTTCTTACAGCCAAGTTTCTTTCCTGTCTGAGTGACTGCTTGCATTTCTACTGTCTGAGAAGAAAGCTCTTTTGGAATTCTCTCCATTTCCATAATTTCCTGTTCAGGTTCACTCTCACTGAGTTTATCAGCTCCTCCTACAGTTTCCATTTTCACATTCATTTTTGTTTTGTCTTCAAATCCTTGCTGATTTTGAACTAGTTTAAGAACTTGTTCATTCAAATTGCTTTTGGAATTCTGTGCTGATTTAGGCTGAGCTTCTGGCTTCTTTTCTGAAGGACTGGCTTTGGCTGGGTTTTGTCTTGCATCCTTAAAAGCTTTTACAGCAGCTACAAGAGGGGCAGAAGAAAAGTCATTTGTTACTGCTACACCTGAATTAAGTACACAAGCTATTTTAATGAAATAAAACATTTTTCTAAGTTAAATTTATAGCACTGAGTAAACATATTTTGAATGCATTTATCAACCTTTCACTGAATAGGTGGGGCAAATAATGCCTTGCAGTACAGCATCAACAAGTGAGGAAAACAATCTGAAATCATTACCACCTAGACATGCTGTTTTTGAAACTGGGTTCAACTAGGGAAACTTAAAAAAGTGACTTGTACGCCTGGTGCGACAAGGGGGAACAGTTTTAAACTAGGAGAGGAGAGATTTAGGTTAGACATTAGGTATTAATTCTTTATTCAGAGGGTGGTGAGGCAGTGGAACTACTCAGAGAAGCTATGGATGCTCCATCCTTGCAGGTGCCCAAGGCAGTGGGGCCCTGGGCAGCCTGATCTGGTGGGTGGCAATCTGCCCATGGCAGAGGCTGGGGAGGGGACTTTAAGGTCCCTTCCAACCCAAGTCATTCTGTGACTGTGCGATATGACTCCATGGTTCTTTTAGTTACCTTTGAAAAGCCAGTTATAATGCTCCTCTTTCCTTTGTATCTGCTCGTTGCCAGTTCAGTCTTAATTAACATGCCATATGGCGTACTGTCACACATAAACCCATGACTGCAATTTGTGGTACTTTGTTCACTGCTGCTTATCAAGCTTGTTACAGAGGCTGGTATACTTTTCCTTTAATAGTGGTTGCTCATAACAGAAGTTAACATGAGCAAAGTGACACATGGACAAGCTACTGAAGTAAAAACAAGTTAATGTACTGTTTCATACCTTTAAGTTCAGCAATTTTGGGTTTCAGAAGGGGGTGTGTTGCAAGTCTTGCAATAGCTCGCTCATTTGCAGTCGACTTTGGCTATAAAAAATAAAATACATAAAATAAGCAGAATAATACTTACAGGATAGGTCTGTATAAGTCATGTTACTATGCATATTAATGTGATTCTGGACTACTAAATGAACAAGAAGAAAAGGTTATAACAATGTAATATTTGAGTATTTTTTAGCTTTCCTGTATTGTCATAATTCTGAGGAAAAACCTGATTGCACAAAAACTGTCAGAAACACAACAGATATAATTCTGCAATTTATCATGTACTGAAGAAGCATAATACAATTTTTACTTTAAAAAAACCAATCACATTCTATATTCTGTTTCTGTAATATATATTCTGGAATATTTTACATTCTGTTTCTTATACATGTAAAGCAAGTTGATGAATCCCTAGAAAAAATTAGCACCATACTGATAGAAGTTATTCTGCATGATGGAACAGAGAAGCTTGTAAAAAGTACCATTAGTGTGGGAAAATCACATAACAGGTTCTGAAGTGTTATACATGAAATGTGATGTAGACGCAAGGACAAACACCCCCAAATGTAATGTGGTAGAATAACAGAATTACAGAGACAGGTTCAAAGACCAAATATGATCTCAATGCTTCAATCTGAAGAAAAAGGAGAGAAGCAGGAATTGCTTTCACTGTTGAATTCATTGGTACTAGCTATCATATTATCAGGCTCTTCTCATGATTATGCTTCAAGAACAAAATGAGAGATATCTGAGACTTTTTAAAGGACATCCTTGTCTTGGTTTTACCTGAGAGAGAATAACTGTGCTGTGCAGACAAGCTCACTACGAAAATTTATGGCTGCAGCAGAAATTATGAGAAAAAAAACAAACAAACCACCTTCTTCCTAGTGGTACTGTATGGATATATTTATAAACTGCTGTAACTGATGATTTGAGCTGTGTGTCACAGAATGTACTCATGGCAGAAGCCACCTCAACCAATGGATGATGAGGCTTACAAAGAACTGGGCAAATGCCCAGTGATCCTGCCTGAGCAGGCTGTGGCATTTCAGCACAATGTGATGCCTCTCCTGGCCTGAACCACCACTATGAGAGATGGAGCCCAGCCAATGACTGAATGAACTCAAGGGATACTTGATAAAGGTGGTTCACAGCCCAAGGGAATAAATAATATCTGTGTTTAGAGTCAGAGGGCAGCAGGCTGGGGGTAGCTGATAAGGACATACTGAATAATTAATGTAGGATATGAGTGTGATGTAAAAGTATGAAATAGGCAATGGGAGATTGTAATGGGTCTGTCCTGGGATGAAGTCAGCTTTCTCCATTTCAGCCAGTATGGTTCTGTACTTCGATTTGCAACTAAATCAGATTTGATAACACACCAATGATTTTATTATTTCTGAGCTGTGCTTGCACAGCACCAAGGCCTTCTTCATTTCTCTCTCAAAAGAAAGGCAGAAGAGATTGGAAGGGAAAGACAGTTGGGACAGCTGACAACAAATTCACTAAAAGGATATTCCATGCTATATTAAGTCATTTTCACCAACACACGCTCAAGGAAAAGAGGAAGGAGGACATTTATTGTTACTGCATTAGTTTCCCCCAAGCAACTGTTTAAGAGTGTAGAAGCCTTGTTTTTGGGATGTGGCTGAAGTTCTGCGTGCAACTCTGAAGTAGTGAACAAATTCCATATTTTACTTTGCTAATGCACAGTTTTGCTTTATTTATAAGCTATCTTTATCTCAGCTCATGAGTTTTATCCCTTTAGTTCTGAGTCTCCCTCATCCTGCTAGGCAGGAGGAGTGGAAGAGTAAGCAAGCAGCCGGTGAGCAAGTAATCATCACACACAGACACTACCCAGTACACTGTTTAACATTCGTTCATCAGAGAATCTTACTAGCTTGTATGCACCTCTTCCTCCAGCGGTTGTGCCACTTAATATGAATAGCTATGTATTCATTGAGTAAAGACAGAGAGACACAACATGCCGACCACTACAGCTGGAGAGTCATTTTCAGTGCTTCAGACTTGAAGAAAACAGAGCAGATCCTGAAATTTGGAATCTTACATCTTCCTGTTAAGTTTCTTAATATAACTAAGGCACTACAGCTACAGAAGATCTACTATTTCCAAATATGGAAACATATAATTGGTCTGCAAAATGTAAAGCTTATTCCTCAACCAATTCCACGCAAATCTAACTTGCTGCAGTTCTATAGCTTAAAGAACACATTCTTGTTTTGTCTGTTCAGATTTTAGTTTGAAGCGCAGAGCATCTGCGAATCCTAGTACCTTCCTCACCAAGTCCCTGCTAATACAGCATTACTGCTTCAGATAAAGATAAAAAGAAAAAAATCTTTCCTGTAGACTGTCCACAGTGTTATGACAACTGGCCAGAGAAGATGAGTGAAAGATGAGTCCATTACCAAAGGTCAAAGACTGTGTTACTCTCAGACTTATTCTCAGAGCTAGAAGAGCTTGGAGAACTCTGAGTCTGGATTTTGATTCCCATGTGAGAGTGCAGCATGCTGCCACCAGATTCCCGGGACAGCAAGCTCACATTTCTGGAGATCAAAGAGTATTTTCTTTGGAGATTTTTGTCTAGCTGGAAAATGTATTTCAGAACTTAATTAATATACTTTTCCCCTTAGCTACTTCCTATGAGTTTTGAAAGAATATACCATGAAGTTCATAAAGCAGCAGCAGCTTCTGTGCAACATCTGGTGTCCTTTAATTCAAATATTTATAGAAAGGGTTTAAGCATATACATGCCAATGCATATGGAATAACCACATTTTTTCCTTATAGCAAAATACCTCACAAATGCTACTCACACTGTGAGACAGCAGCCAACAAACATATAATATGACATTCACATTCTTAAAAAATTCCCATTTTTCTATTTTTTGGCACATCCAATGCTCAATTTATTTTTCCTCAACTATTTTCCAGTATATAAAGCCTTGGCAGAGAAAAAAACCATAAAGTACCTACTGCATCCATAGCAAGAACTTTATATATATATATAATATATATTATATATATATATATATATATATATATTCCCACTCCTCACCTCCCCTCACTATGTTTGCTTTTGTAAATACTTGCTTTCACTAGTTCCTGCTACTTCTTGTATTATTTTGTGCTACTTTATTTTTTTCAGGTAAGACTTTCCATTGGAATGCTCTGCCTCTTTCAATTTTCAACTGAGGCACAGCAAAATGAACAAAGCAACTGAGCACTGGATAATCATGTTTCAGTTGTAGGCTGTATGCTACCTGCACAGGAATCTGAACTCCTCAGACTTTACCCTGGTCATCGATGCAATATTTTAATATAAAGATGCCTGCCATCACAACCATGATACATTAAACTCTATAGAGATAATTATCAGAATTAATTGCACTGATCTTTGTGTTTTTCAAACTTTAAAATTAAAAAAAGAAGCCTTGCATAAAGAAGTGTTCCTCATCCTGAATGGCAGATGAGGCACAAACCTCAAACCATAACTTGGCAGTTACAACATAATAAAGTAGGATGTGTATAACTCACACCAACAAACACACGGGGGTACCCCACACAGGGGAGGCAAACTTTGTAAAATGTAGCAATGATTAAGGAAAAACTGGACGTTAGAAGACTGTTAAAATAAAAACAGATTTACACTACAAATTTTGAAATGTGCTGGACAGAGGTGAGGAAAAGTAAGGAATGACTCTGAGGGCTGGCAGCACTGGGTAAAAAGAAGCAGCTGGATGGGAATGTCAGGCAGAATTTGTGTGGCTAGCACCTGCCTCATACAATGCAGGAAATAAAGTGAGAAAGAGAATCCCTTGGTAGAGATGGGATTTGCTGCTGTTAAAGGCAATACTTTGCTAGTATGCTTGAGATAGCAGACCTTCAAGAAGAATTAAGCAGCAGAAATGTAAGATCAACCTCGGGACATGATATGCTGACTTCTGATTATTGCTTCATTGTTATTACTCATCCTGTTCAAAATTCCTTTTGGTTTTACCCTGTGCTACAATTATAATAAAAAATAGAGAGGAGGCCTTAGTTTTATCTTTTAATTTATTTCTGTATGAAAAACTACAGGTAGCTTAAAACAAGATTAATATTAGAAGACTACTAACTAGAATTTCTACTAGGTCAAAGGACAGTGCTGACAGACAGGTAATGCCTGCTGGCCTTACGTCAGTTCCTGTAAATGGTTTGCTATGATATTTAGATGGAGACAGTCTGAAACCCTCTGGATGAGCGTGTAGCACTGCTAAACCTATGACACAAAAAATAACCTTGAAGCATGTCCGACTGAGGTTTCTAAATTAACTGGAAGTGCAGTCTAAAGCATAACAGCAGCCTGATCTCAGGAAAAAGAACAAAAGGAAAAGATAATGCTAACCAGGTTTAAACATAAAAAAATCCAAAGTTCTGGGCCAAAGGAAGATGTAATTGAAATACTCTTTGTAGCAGCTTAAAAAAGAACTTTCTCCCTCCTGAGAACAACAGAAAACCTATTACTCCACATACTGCTCCCAGAGCTCTAACAAGTCACAGCTGTCTTTCACAACACCAGAAAGAGTGTGGTTAGTGTAGAGTTATAGGGTGGCTGAAGATGTTAGATAATGGCTGCCTTTCAAATCCATCCCATGGCTGCATTGGAGTAAGATCACTGAGCAACGTTATCTTCTGACTGAAATGCTGTTAGTTCTCCCTATTCCTTTATGTCTGTAAGAAATTTGGTATGTGACTTGTGGCCATCAAAAAAACTGAAAATTTTGGCAAGAGAAACAACGGGATACCACTTGTGGTGGCCATGTTAGCTCACAGCTTCTGACAGCATGAGTCGGTGGCTGTGTCCCCACTTCACTGATAGCAGGATGGATCAGCTAGGAAAGGCAGGAAACACATCTTCATTAGGCAAGGCAGGAGTTCAAAAGAGAGTGACCGTCCTAAATACAGAAATAGCAGGGAACAATCACATACAATGCACAGCACAGAAACATCAGCCCTAAATACTGTACTGAAAAAAGATAATC